ACCACTTCCCTCAGGCACCAACGGCCGCGCGCGGGAAGCGGCGCCGGCCCCTCAGAGCCCCCCCCAGCCCCTGCTGCTCCCCTCACGCCCCCCGGAGACCCCTCGGGCCCGCCCCGCTCGCGCCACCTTTTAAATTTTCCGCCATTTTCAGCCGTCGCCGCCGCTTTTTTTTTTTTTTTTGCCTTTTTCCGCCTTTTTTTTCCTTTTTTTTTTAACCTCCCCTTGCGCCGCTTCCGCCCGCGGGGCAGCGCGGGGGGCGGGGCTTCCTCCGCCCGCGCACGGCGCTCATTGGCTGTGCCGGAGGGTGATTTGCATACTGACAGCTAGATGCGCGCTTTCCATTGGTTGGCGGTGTGTTTTATTTGCATACTGACAGCTTCCCGCCCGTCCTCTATTGGTCGCCGCGCTGCTTTATTTGCATAATATCTGATCCCGCCATTGGCCGCGCCCGTGCCTCATTTGCATATCGCTCCCAGCAGTAGCCGCGGCGCGCGATTTGCATTTGCACTTGAATGGCGCGGTTCCCATTGGCCGCAGCGCTGCCTCATTTGCATATCGCTCCCAGCAGCCCCCGCGCACCAAAATCCGCCGGGTTTTCCCCATTTTCCCCGCGGTTTTCCGGGATCCGAACCGCGGGAATCGCTGGGCTCATTAAACGGTAATTAATTAATTAACGAGGCGAGCGGTCACGTGACTCCTGCGTTTATTTGGCAATTCCAAGGGTGGGAAAAGGCAGCGCCCCTCCCCCACCCCCCCCCTCCGAGCTGGGGGAGGGGCACGGAGAGGGGGGAGGGGTCGCATTTTGGGTCTGGGGGCGTCCGGAGAGGGGGAGGGGGGGGAGGGGCTTCCAAACCCGGGGTGGGGGAGGGGCTCAATCGTCCCATTCATCATCGTCCTCCTCATCCTCGCTGGCTGTGCCGTCATCTGGGGGGGGAAAAGGGGGAAAAAGGGGTTTTGGGGGGGTCTTTGGGGTTTTTTGGGGGGTCTTTGGGGTTTTTTTTGGGGTTTTTTTGAGGGGTCTTTGCGGTTTTTTGCGTGGTTTTTTTGGGGGGTCTTTCAGGGTTTTTTTGGGGTTTTTTTTGAGGGGTCTTTGAGGGGTTTTTTAGGGGCTCTTTGGGGGTTTTCTGGGGGTGTTTTGGGGTTTTTTGGGGGGGGGTCTCACCCGAGGAATGGATGACGCGGCTCCGTTTCTGCATCACGTCCATGAGGGCCCCCACGAGCCCCCCTGCGCCGGGACCCGCGCCCACCTCGGGGGTCTCAGGGGTCTGGGGGGGGGGGGGGGGGGGGA